AATATGCTTGTCAGGACAGTTTTCCACATATGCTAACCTGTCAGATAATATACCATTTCTATTTATTTTCTTGATACATTGCTCTGGAGCACATCAAACTCTTGTTGCAGTATGAGCTAGATCACTGCTTTCTTTGCAAGATGCAGAACTTTTGTGTGAGATTTGTCTTTACTGTATTTATGGAAACTCTTTTAGATTCTTAGATTTCCTGTTTTTTAAATCCTATTTTTGATTTGCTTCATAGTTTTGGTACATTATATTTTTCTGGGGCTTCCTAACAAAGATTGTTTTGAATGACATTTATATAAACCTTGTTCCCAAAGAATGACATTTTTGTTTGATGGTCCTTATTTTTGTACTCTTAATAGTTACATAGATATGAAATGCCTATATGATAAATTTCTATTCTTTGCCAACCATGCTCCATAAATTAATAATTTTAATGTAGTTTTGATAAGCTAGCTAGGCAGGTATGTCAAAAGCCTTCTTCTTATAAGTCAACTGGTGAATACCATTTCAATGTTAACAACAAATGTGATCAAGTTCATCATGAACTCCAAGGAAGTTAATTTTTTGGAAAATTTTAATGTCTGATGTATCATTTTTCCTTCCACATTTGAATGATCTCATAATTTGATAAAGATAGAATTTAATATTGGAATAATTTTTCTTCCAAATTTTGAAACTCTGATCATTACCTTCTGTCTTCTCTTGTTGTATTTAGAAATCTGCTATTTTTCTTCTACATCCATTATATGCTAGTCAGTGTTTCCTTTTTGAAGCTTTTAGAAACTTCTTTTTTCTCTTGGTACTCCATTATTTTATACTGATGACTTTCATGTGAATCTCTTTTAGTATATATGTATATATATGATTGTATATGTTGTATATACATTAATATATATTTAGAGGGAACAAATGCAGATTTCTTACATGCATATATTGCATAGTAGTGAAGTCTGGGCTTTAAGGGTATCCATCATCCAAATAGTGAGCATTATAGCCAATAGGTAAGGTTTCAACCCTCGCCGTCTCACACCATCCCACCTTTTGTAGTCTTCAATGTCTATTACTCCATGGGGTATGTCCATGTGTATCCATTTTTTACCTCTCACTTATAAGTAAGAACATGCAGTATTTGACTCTCTGTTTCTGAGTTATTGCATTGAGGATAACTGCTTCCACTTACATCCATGTTGCTTCAAAATACATGATTTCATTCTTGTTATGGCTAAGTACTATTCCATGGTGTGCATGTGTGTGTGTGTGTGTGTGCACGTGTGAGTGTGTATCACATTTTCTTTATCCAATATTCTGCTGATGGACACTTAGGTTTATTCCATATCTCTGCTATTGTGCATAGTGCTGCAATAAACATATGAGTGCAGGTATCTTTCTGATTCCATGATTTCGTTCTTTTTGGGTTTATGCCCAGTAATTGGATAGCTAGATCAAATGGTAGTGCAATTTTTAGTTCTTCTGGAAATCTCCACACTATTTCCATAAATGTTGTACTAATTTATATTTCCACTAAAAGCATATAAGGTTTTCCTTTTTTCCACAGCCTCACTAACATCTGTTGTTTTTTGGTTTTTAATAATAGCCTTTCTGACTCATGTAAGATAGTATCTCATTGTGGTTTTAATTTGCACTTTGCTGATTATTAGTGATGTTGAAATGTTTTTCATGTTTGTTGGCTGCATGTTTGTTTCTTTTGAGAAGTTTCTGTTCATGTCCTTTGCCCAATTTTTAATGAGGTATTCTTTTTTTCTTGATTTAAGTTCCTTATAGATTCTGGATATTAGTCCTTTGTCAGATACATAGTTTGCAAATATTTTCTCCCATTTTGTATATTGTCTATTTACTCTTTTTATTGTTTATTTTGCTATGCAGAGGCTTTGTAGTTTAAATAAGTCCCATTTGTCCATTTTGTTGTTGTTGTTGTTTTTGCTTTAGAGGACGTGGTCATGAATTCTTTGCCAAGATCAGTGTCCAGAAGAGATTTTTCTGTGTTTTCTAGTAGGATCCTTATAGTTTACAGTTTTATATTTAGGTTTTTAATCCATTGTTAATTAATATTTGTATATAGTGAGAGGTATGGGTCCAGTTTCATTATTCTGATATGAATTTTAGGATTGTTTTTTCTAATGCTGTGAAAAATGACATTGCTACTTTGATAGAAATTATGTTGAATCTCTAGATTGCTTTGGGCAGTATGACCATTTAATGATATCGATTCTTCTAATCCATGAGCATTAACTATTTTGCCATTAGTTGTGTCATCTATGATTTCCTTCATCAGTGTTTTGTAGTTCTCTTTATATAAATCTTTCATTTCCTTGGTTAGTATTTTATTTATTTTTTTAAGCTATTGTAAATGAGATTGCTGTCATGATTTTATCCTCAGCTAGATTATTGTTTGTATATAGAAACATTACTGATTTCCATATGTTAATTTTGTGTGCTGAATCTTTACTGAATTCATTTATGAAATCTCAGAGTTTTTTGATAGAGTCTTTACAAATTATCAGATGTAAGATTATATCAGTGAGCAGGGATAGTTTGACTCCCTCTTATTCAGTTTGGATGCCATTTATTTGTTTATTTCTCTTGCTTCATTGCTCTGGTGAGGACTCCAGTATTACATGGAGCAAGAGTGTGAAAGTTGCCATTCTTGTCTTGTTCCAGTTCTTACAGGAAATAGTTTTGGGAGGATTGGTACAATTCTTTGCATGTTTGGTAGAATTCAGCTATGAATTCTCTGGTCCTGGGCTCTTTTGGGTGGTAGATTTTTTAAATTACTGATTCAATCTCATTACTTATTGTTGGTCGATTCAGGAGTTTTATTTCTTCCTGGTTCAATATTAGGAGGTTGTATGTTTCCAGAAATTTGTCTATTTCCTCTAGATTTTCTTATTTGTGAGTGTATAGTTGTTCATAACAGTCTTTGGTGATCTTCTGCATTTCTGTCATATTAGTTGTCTGTTTTCATTTCTGATTGTGTCTATTTGAATCTTCTCTCTTCTTTGTCTAGCTAGTATAATAGCTTGTACATTTTTTAAACACTTTCTGAGAACCAGCTTTTCTTTTTGTTACTCATTTGTGTTGTTTCTTGGTCTCTATTTCATTTAGCTCTGCTCTGATTCTTATTTCTTTTTTTCTGCTAATTTTGGCTTTGCTTTTTTTTTCTTGCTTTCCTGGTTCTTTATGGCGTGACATTAGATTGTTAATTTGTGAATTTTTCTTCTTTTTTAATGTAGTCACTTAATGCTGCAAACTTCCCTCTCAGCACTGCTTTTGCCGTATCCCACAGGTTTTGATCTTTACCGTTGTGTTACATTTTTGTGGTCTTTCAAATGGGGAACTCATGTCATTTAGTTCTATAAAACATTCATAAATTATTTCCTTGAAAATTTTCTATCATCGTTTTCTATATTCTCAGATTACTATAGGTTGGATTTTATACTTTATGGATTATGTCATATATATCTATACACATGCATATATATATATATTTATTTATATATTATCTTAGGCAGTCTCTCTTATTGCCATTTTTCTCATCTTTTTATTGTATTTCCCAGGATATTTTTCTTACTTGACTTTTCTGAATCTTAAAATATTATTTTGACAGTTTTAAACTACTGAGAATTCTTAGTGTTTATTAATTATTTATTTGTTTATAGCCTGTTATTATTGGAAAATAATACCTTTAATTTCTTATTATAACATGATTTCATTGACTTTTTTCTGTTGACTACATTTTCACTGAATTATTTATTCCTTCATGTCTCTCTCTTTTATTTTGAATAGTTCTTTAATATATATTCACCCTTGCCTGTTCACTCATGTTTATTAATGCCTCTCAAAAAGCTGGCTTTATCGTTAAATATTATATCATTTTCTGGCAATCAGGATATTAATGAATGTTTTAATTTTAGAAGGTGTGTCTGCTATGTTAGTCTGTGATCTTTAATCTTAGGTGGTTTGTTTCTTTAGAAAATGATTCTACAAAAATTTGTGATGGGTAGAGTATAACTTATTTGTTTAAATGAAATAAGGCTCTCTAAATGATCAAGTAATATGCCAATACAATGCTTTGTTTTTAAAGATATAGTCAACATATTTTCCCTGGTTATTCCTAGTTGTCAGGTTGTAAATGCGAAGGCAATATTACATGTGCCACTTTTTATATATCTGCTGTAACATTGTCTCTTTTAGGGTTTGGTTTTGGGAGTAGCACAATGATTAACACTATCTACAACTTTCTCCTATCCCATATGTTCTGACCTCCTGTCAAATCATCCATTAATTCCAGTGGCATAATAAAAACACATGTAAGATAGATACATTTTTAGGATCAGAAAATGTTTTTTATTATATTTCCTTATTTTTTCAAAAGCTTGTGATACCCTTTAGCTTTCATTAAGAATTATGAATGTTTTAGAGGTAAGTTTCAAGAAGTATAGGTTTTTTTCCAGTAGATTATAACATCTTGTCTAATGCAATGAGTAGTTTTACAGATACCCCTTTTATTAATCTTCCATGGAATAGTCATTTACTCCCAGAGTTTTCTTGTTTTATCTAGGAAATGTTACATGCTATGCCAGCTATATATTTTCTCTATTCCAGTAAATTTTTCTTGTGTATTTCTGTTTACTTCTGTGTTGTTCAAACTCTAGTGTGGAGATCATTTTAGCTCTGTTTACTTTTTTCTTAGCTTAGTATCATCTTTTTTTATTATCTCAAGGATAAGTTTCCTATTTTGCTTATAATTCATTACCATTAAAAAACTCCACAAAATGGAACTTTGTTAATTTGATACATCAAGATATTATAGAAATGTTTTTAAATGTTATTTTATTTTCTGGTTGGGAATATAAAAATATATAGAAACAAGTCTTATTTTATTATTGTTTAATATTTTAAAGTATACTAAGAAGTACCTATGAGCTTATATCTGTTGACACTTTATCAGTATATTTATGTTCCTCTTACAGCATTACAGTCACCATTGAAATTATCTAGTACTAAGCTTGTATTGGAAATCCCTTTACATGAGATGAATCTTAATAAAAACATCACAAAAACTCGGGTATGTATAAAGAAGCGATACGGTTTACGACTCTTCATGATTAATTTGATTATTCATAAGCATGAGTGATATGAACCATTCCCTATGATTAATTTCTCCCCAATCATTTATTCTATTTGGAGGAAGAATATTGGCATTTTTAGAAAACTTACATATAAAATTTCTCAGGAGTAATTTTCAAAGTATACAAATATATATACAGCTATTTATAAATACATATATGCATATAATAAAAATATTAAAATAATTTTAATATAATTTATCCTATTCTCCTTATACAAATGGAAACTATGATTTAAATTAATATGAAATATATTCCATAGATAAACAAAAATGTAGTGGGAGGCAATAATAAATCTGAAAAATATCCAAGTATGTAATAAAGTAGTTTCTATATTAAGTTACTATTTTTTTCTTAAAGGATATCTCTGCCTCTCTTCTAATTAGAGAGGAAAACAGAGAGACATGCATAAAAAAAGCAGCTCAGGACACATTATAGAATTTTATATTTGCACTGCCCCTTTTTGTCTTATATATTGTTATACCTGTAACCAATTTTGAATCTTTATATCATTCAAGAAAATTTATGTGGAGAGAATATTTAGCATTGCATTCATAAAAAATAGCAGAGTACTATACAAAATTATAGTTAGAGATCAATAAAGGATCTACTGAAATTAAAATGTTACTGTTTAGAGTATGAAAAGTCAAGAAAATTTCTACTTCGAATAGAACTTCAAGGATACAAAAGACCTTATATGTGGGGCTAGAAAGGCAACTTCAATTAACTGAATTTAATGGATTTCAGATAAAAAACTATCCCTTCATAAATGTGAGATTATTTTGTATCATTGAAATTTTATTCAATCCATGTAAGAAAAGAAGATCTAGACACCAATAGCATTCTCTCTTTTGAGGGAAAAGTGGTACATTGGCCCCATGGAGAAAAAGAAATGTGACTCTGATCTTCTACTTAAACTTCCAGTGAATGATATTTGCAGTCATAATATATAAGATATATGATACAGAGAAGACTCAATATGTTTATGGAAGGTTAAGTTGACAGAAGGGTTAAGGATGTTGGAAAAAAAATAAAACTCATTTTACATAGTGGGTAATTAAAGGGTGTTGTCTAAAGTAGAAAGAGAGAGGAAAAAAAGCAAGAGGTATATATATTTTGCTTAAACTTACCAACTGACTAATGTAAGAATTAAAAAAGAATAAATATCCAAAAATGGGAAGTGGAGCAAGGAGTATAGGTAGTGCCAATGAGCTGAATCTTCACCTTTCCTAGTAGGCAGTCAAAAGACAATGTCTAAAGCTGATAAACCATAAAATAGCCATGCAGCAGGCAGATAATGGCTCCAAAGATACTTAAGTATTCATCTCTAAAATTTGTGAATACATGACCTTATATCACAAAAGATACTTTGCTGATGTAATTATGGTGAGGGACTCAGAGAAGGGGAGATTTTCCTGAATTATCTAGGTGACCCCAATCTAATGAGTGGTTAAAAGCAGAGAACCTTTTCTAACTGTGCTCAGAGGGAGATGTGACAACAGAAGGGTCAGAGTAATGCAGTGTACAACATAGAGGAAGAAGGCCACCGACTGAGGAATGCGCCTGGCCTCTAGAAACTAGAACAGGCAATGAAAGGGCTCTTTCCTAGAACCTTCAGAAAGGAACGCACTTCCTGCTAACATGTTGACCTTAGCCAAATGATATTTGTGTTGAACCTTTAATCTATAGAACTGTGATACATAATAATAAATTTGTGTTTTCTTAAGTCCCTATGTTTGTGGTAATCTGTTATGGCAGCAATAAAAAACTAACATAAGCCATATTGGCATCACATTTAGATTAAAGCTATTCTAGATAAAAATTTGAATCATAATTGGCTAAAATTGGTTGCTTCTGGGAAGCAGAACTTTTGATGAGGAGGAGTTTAGTGGGACAACTGCTTTAAATCAAGTTATTTTGAACTTTTTGTGTAAGCTGCATACATATATCATTTTGACAAAAATTTAAAGAAAAAAATAACACTAAACATACTGAACAAATTAACCAACGTTTCTCTGTAGGTAACTGTATCAGTTCCATTCTCAGAATTATAAGCTATAGAAGGTAGACAGTATTTTGGCAGTGTAATAACTTTTCCTCATTTTAAAATGACAAAAATTAGCTTAAAATGGCTGGTATGATTATGTGCTCATTTTCTGTATTAAAACATGTTGTTTTCTTTAGAATGTCTAAATTGCCTTTTTATAGTTAGGATATACCAATATTAGAGCTAAATAGATGCTTAGGTAATTCAAGGCTTGGGAATAAATTGGACTCATTGTTTATCTTATGTATTTTAAATCAATCATGCTTTAGAGAGAAATGAAGTATATATTTTGTTGTGGTGATAATTGTATGGCTCCTTCTGTACTCTTCAAATATTTGAAGAGTAAAGTTGATGAACAAACCTGGTTGATAGTTTTATTTTAATAGCAGTTAACATTAGAAAGATGAGTCTGCCTGCAAGTCAGGCCCATAATGTTCAGATTTACTAAAATGTTTCAAAGATAGTGCAGAGAATTTCTGATAGCTTTCACCCAACATTACCTAATGTCACCTTACACAACCATAGAGGTTTTTTTTTTTTTAAATGAGAAATTAATGTTGGCTTATTATTAACTAAACAATAGACTCTATTCAGAATTAAATGGTTTTTCACTAATGTCCATTTACCATCCCAGGGTCCAGCCAGGATAGTACATTGCATTTAGTCTTATCCAACCTGTGATAGGATTGCAATCTTGTTTATTTTTTAATGACCTGATGCTTTTAAAGAGTATTTGTCTAGCATTTTTTGAAAATGTCTTTTAATTTGAGATTGTCTGGTGTTTTTCACCTGACTAGACTGAGTTTTTATTTTCCATGGGTTTTGAAGAACAATGTTACCGAGGTGAAATAATTTGTGATAAAAGAATACATGATATGAAAATGACTAATTACTGGTGATATCTGCTAGGTTTCTCCACTGTGGAGTTACTATTTTTCACTTTCCATACTCTATTCTTTGGAAGTGTGTGATCAATTTCAGCCTACAATCAAGTGGTAGAAGGTTAAGCTCTACTTTCTGGAGGGGAATATTTACATATATTACTCAGAAATTTTCTTTAAAAAAGATTATTTCCACTATGTATTTATGTTATTACATAATATATCAGTATAAACACACATATATTTGTTTTTATACTTTCAGTTATAATTTAACACTATTTATTTTGTTGCTAAAAGTGTTTCTGCTTTGGCCATTATAAGCTCGTTTACACTGGTCCTTTGACAGGCTCCCATCCTTGTGATTTTTAAGTATTTTCTTATTTACTGGCATTATCAAATGTTCCAGGCTCATCTTTTATTTTACTTGCTCCAGTTCTAAGATCAACATTTCTCCAAAATCCCCTAGTACTTTTTATTGTAGAATTTAGAAACCAAGATCTAAGTATCGTGTATACAAGTTGCTACTGCAGTGTCACAGGTTCTAGGCCCTTTCAACAAATAGGAAATGTGTGTATATAGGTTAATCCCTACATACACACGTATACCTATAATTATCTATATATGTGTCTCTCTATCTATCCATATATCCATCTAACACCAGTTCAGATTGATATCTCTAATCTAGCACCACAGTGTCGATTCCCATCTTTCTCTCTTATTCATTTTTGACTTATTTCTCTGACAATGAGAAATCTGCTTCTTATTTTTTACTTTTTATTTACTGATTTTTTAATCCTAATTTCAAGTAAAGAAGTTTCAGAATTTCTAACGTGTAGCCTATTAAAATTGCTGACACGTTTATCACCTAGAGTACATTATTCATACACAATTCTTATAGTCTTTAGCCTTGTAGCTTTCAGCTAAAAACATAGTTTTTCAAAGTTATTAAGGTCAGTTTCTCCCCACCCCTAACTACATTCAGTGAGGTTATTACTAAGGTCAATTTCTCCCTACCCCAACTACATTCAGTGAGGTTATTTCACACATTTGTAATACAGTGCATCAACATTCCAAGATGGATTACAGACTGTGATGCATTGTATTACAGCTGGGTTGATTGTTTTTGATTTACATACATTTAAGTTCGCCCTTTTTAGTATACAAAAGTTTTGGGTTTTGAAAAATGCATGGAATAGTGTATCTACCCCTTCATTGCCATAGAAAACATTTCCATCGGATTAAAAACCTCTTTGTTTCTCTAATATCATTTTGAAGCATTTTATCTATGATTAATCATTTGAATTTATATATAGGCTCATCAAATTGAGATGTAATACAATTAAATTTTATATTACCTGCTATAATTTTTGACATTTTTAAAAATCTTTTTGTGTGTGTGAGCAGAATCTTGTTTTACATAATATTACCGAACGCCATGTGACATGGACTTTGGATATTAATAATACTGGCAACCTTTTCAAAGATGGCACATTCAACTGCAGTGCATTAAAGGGGCTTCTACAACCGCAAGAAAAGTACAATGTTTCCATAAATTTCTGTCCAAGTAAGATCTTTTCTCCTATATTTGTGGTTATACTTTCAATTTATCCTTCATATATGAGATTGTTTTATTATGTAGTCAGAAATTTAGATTATTTTTCCTTTTAATTTGAATAATTATAAATAATGCAATTTTATTGATCTCATTTTTGAATGTTACATTATTTAATTGACAAAGTTGGTATATATTCAAGGTGTTCAATGTGAGGATTTGATTTTTGTATACATTGTGTAATGACTGCCACAATCAAATTACTTAACATATCCATCATCACCCATGTTGTATATTAGATCCCCAGAAACTTGTTCATCTTATAACTGAAAGTTTGTGCCCTTTGATCAACATCTCCCCATTTCCCCCACTCCCAAGCCCCTAGAAGACAATATCCTGCACTCTGCTTTCATGAGTTTGAACTTTTAGATTCCTCATGGGTGAGATTATACAGTAATTGTCTTTCTGTGTCTGGCTTATTTTATTTATAATAATGTCCTCTAGGTTCAACCTTTTTTTTTTTTTTTTTGCTAAGGGCAGGATTTTCTTCCTTTGTATGAATGAATAGCATTCTATTGTGTATACACACATCACAATTTATTTATCTACTCATCCATCAATGGACACTTCCATAATTTGGCTATTTTAAATAATGCTGCAATAAACATGGGTGTACAGATATCGGAGATTCTGATTTTATTTCCTTTGAAATTACTGGATCATATGATAGTTCTATTTTTAATTTTTTGAGGAACATTCTCAAAATTCTGCTTATCACATTCAGTCACTATAGTACAATGCAATCTGTTTTTCATTTTATTAGACTTATAAAATACCCAAATTCTGAGGACACTGTTTTACATATGTGGTAATCTAGATAAAATACCCACAACTGGCTCAGTTATCAGTAGAAATTCAGGCAGGGTAAGAATCTATTATAGCTTTTAAGCTTATTAGAGAGTTCATTGAGCAGTATGTTCTGTCTCTCAATAATATTCTATTAGCACTGTGCTGCAATAACTTGATATTCTACTATATCTATTAGCATGGCATTGTATAATCATTTTAGTTTTGTGTGTGAGAAACATCTCATAGCATATTATGATTAGTAGGTTTAAAAATGTTCAAACTTTTTATTACCTCTTTTTAAATTTTTGAAAATATGATATAAATTATCAACTTTTCTTTGCTTTCTGAGATTTGTTTTGTAAAAATAATTAAGTTTCATTATGTAGCTCTCTAGTTTCTTCTCTGTTTCTACCATATTCTGGTTTGAAAGAAATAGCACAAAGGCTATTCCAGTTAAACCTACCATCCGTATTTCTGTTCAGAACTTCTCCTTTATGTCCCTGTCAACATTTATACTCAGATAAAATGGACTGGACTGGTCAATCTAGAAGGAAATAAGAAACATTTTCATTTGACTTTTCATTCAATATGGGACTGGGCCATAGCAGTCAAATCTATGGTTTCCTTTATTAGGCTCCCAATCTTACTGTTTTGTTGTTGTTGTTGTTGGAGACAGAGTCTTGCCCTGTCACCCAGGTTAGAGTGCAATGGCATGATCTCAGCCCACTGCAACCTCTGCTTCCTGGGTTTAAACGATTCTTTTGCCTCAGCCTCCCAAGTAGCTGGGACTAGAGGTGCGCACTACCATGCTTGGCTAATTTCTCCATTTCTAGTCAAGCTGTATTTGAAAATACTTTTCTTTCAACAGCACCTCATTACATGTCCTACGTTCTCCAGCAAGCTAAATCTAATTTCTGGGTAATTTATTCTGCACCATTAAATAGTTGTAACATCATGGTACATTTTGAAATTTAGTAATGTTTCGGCTATGTAAATGTTTTTGTGTGTTTTAACTAATTTTAAATACCCTTAAAATTTGTTTTTCATTAGAACATCCTGGAAAATATACAGCAGCTATTCCTATGCTTTTAAATGATATTCCAGTTTGCTATAGAATATTATCTCTTACTGGAGAAGTAAAATCACCAAAGTTATTGTTTGACCCTCCATTTATATTTTTCACTCCTGTTCCTTTGAATATAACAACTGTGATGGATGTCAAAATTTTACCTCAAAATTATTTCAGGTAAATACTTAATGTGAATTTACCACATCTTCTTTATATGCTTTTTTTGTTTGTGTCTCTGTTATATAAGAGTTATAAATAATGTCTGACCTATTTCTATAGTTGGAAAGAACTATTAAAATATTTAACAAAAAAACCCTCTAATTATCTCACAGTCATTGAATTTTCCTGTATATATATATATACACACATATATATATATATTTTTTTCTTTGCTGTGTCTCTCTTCATGGTGTAATAAGCAAGCTTGAAAATTCAATATAGGTCAGGCACGATGGCTCACATCTGTAATCTCAGCACTTTGGGAGGCCGAGGTGGGCAGATCATGAGGTCAGGTGATTGAGACGATCCTGACCACGGTGAAACCCCGTCTCTACTAAAATACAAAAAATTAGTTGCGTGTGGTGGTGTGCCTGTAGTTTTAGCTACTTGGGAGGCCGAGGCAGGGGAATTGCTTGGACCCAGGAGACGGAGGTTGCAGTGAGCTGAGATCGCGCCTGGC